TTCTTTGTCTCTCTTTTTTTTTTTTTTTTTTTTTTTGTGAAAAGCAGCGCCCAGAAATGCTGAGAACTGTGTATTTTAAAAAAGCAGACTCCTATTTGGGTGGACATCCCCCCCATTCCCTCCAGCTTAGCGGTTTGCCAACATTTCTGCCGTTAATTACTGAAATTTGAGGTGCATTCTGAGTCTTTCAATTTGCAGACTTTCACATCAACATGTCAGGCAATGAGGGCATTGGGGAGAGCCCTGGGGTATAAAGCTAAATTTTCCAATTCATATGCAGAGTGGTGGGAGACAAATATACCAGCAGAGGCATTCAATTTACATAAATGCTTGTGGGACACGTTTTGAGACCTACATGCTAAAAATGAGAGGTTATTATAAGCTATCGGTTTCCTTGCTTATAAATGTTCACAGGTTTAGCAGTGAAGACCAAAATTTTCATAATCAATAGTCTCCATTTCTGTTTATTAGTTACTGTCACAGACAAGCGCTTTTGTTGATTAAGGGCAATGAAATCAAATCTATTGCCAAGGCAGTGAATAACATGATTAAAAGTCTGCAGGGATCATTTGCGGCTTTTCACAGGCCCTGTGTGAAAGGTAAGTCATATTGCCAGGAACATTTAAAGGATCAGCTTGCAGCCCCAAAATATATCTCATAATGAGTTAAAGATAGGACAAGGCTGTTCTCAGAACCAGACTCACCATTCACAGCTGGAAGTCACTTTGCCTTTATCAGGGGCCACCTTTGCCAAGCTCTCAGCCTCTCTGGAGGGGACAGCCCACACATACTTGACTCTTTTTGCCAGAAGTCCTAGCTGTCATTGTGACAGGTGGAGAAGCTGGGCACGATGGAGCCGAGACATCCCGCTCACGGGACAGAGGCAGCACCAGGGTCTGCTCCCGCCGAGCAGAGCAGGGCTTGCACTTGGGCTACTGCTGAACTAGAGCTGGCAATGCAGATGGAAAGCACACAGATCACAAGGCTTGCTTTGCTTCACCCTGTTCCTGACCCTCTTCCTCTCTCTGCAGCTGGGGCACGGCCTGAGGTCCAGTCTTGTGTCCTGGTTTTCTTTTGGGCCAATTCTTCTACATAGCACAGACCGTACTGCTTCCCTACCCACCCAGAAGGAAGACCTTATCTGTTGGTAGGTGATGAGGAAGAGAAGCCTCCACACACTGCTCTCCTTAACCAGTAATTCCTTTGACAGCTGGCATTTGGAATATGAGGCCCCAGATAAAACATTCCCAGCATGCCGAGTACAGATTAAATCCTGCAAGGTGCAGAGCACCTTCTCCAAGGGGATGAACACCTTTGACCTCCAAAGATGGCTTTGCATAGATCACTGGCTCCCCAGACTGAACCTTCAACCCGGTGACGTTTATTTGCGTGGGTCCTTCACCTCACTTGACCTGTCCCATTGCCTCGGAACTGGGTCATTGCAGTCTAAAAGGAAGAGGGCAGAAGCTGCAGTCTGAACAGAGATTGCCAAACCTGTGGAATTCCTCAGATTTTGTAAGAAGTCAGGCAGCTACTGCCTGTACAGCTGAGCAGAGGTGGGAGGAAGCAAATGCATCACCAGAAGGTGATGCATTTAAAAGTGATGTATTTAAAAATCAGGTAGTTCACATTCCTGCAGTCAGGCTGGGTCCCTTTTACATCATAATAATAGGAAGAAGAAGAAGAAGAGAAAAAGAAGGAACGGGAGATATATTCACAGCATAATATTGTATTGAATCCGAGCCAATGAAATTCAAGCCCAACTCCATTTTTGGCTTTGGTAGCAGACTTCTTTACTTAGGCATTCCATTTTATTCCAGCTACACACAAATGTCCATTAACAATGAATGATGGAGTAAATACACACGCACTGCCTAACATCAGCAGGCTGAATTACTGGCTCCCTTGCCTCTCTGTTGAGTATACAGAGAGCCCACTCAGAGCGATGGGATATCTGAGCTGGGCACGGGAAGTGCCCGAGGTTAGATGGTGTGGCATCCCTGTATAGAGGCAGAATACATCTGCAGTGTTCACAGAGCTGAATATTTTAAACCTGAAACAGTAGTCTGCTCCCACCTGAATTGCCAGGATCATACTACATTTATAGAAAGAATAAAAATTCCTTATCAGCCACGAGCGAATACAAGGAGATAAGCAAAGAACATGAGCAATTAGGTAACTTAACACTGTTCAGTTTACATCAGGAGGCTGCTGCTCTGTGGTCTCACCTGCAGGTACTCAGGAAACAATTAATACGTTCAGTGTAGTCAAAGGTTTTTGCTGGTTCTTTATGCATTTTCATACCCATTTCAAAGATTTTCACTATGGTTATGAAGCAAATTTGTTTTCCCAATTACTCTGCCTCTCTGGCAAACATCTGCTGTCCATGCTGTGCAGTGCCTGTCAATACACCAATCTTTCAATATCTTGTTTCTTGCAAAAATTGCTGGATTTTTACCAGGAAATAAGACCCTTTTCCCCAGGACCTACCCCCAAAACCTCAACCATTATAAAACCAATGCACCAAACTTGCATTATACAGGAATATAGTACTATCAGACTTCCCTCTAATTTAATTTTGTTCTTAATCTGTAAATTTGATCCATGTAATTTTAAAAAAAAACCACGAAAGACAGACTGAAGCAAAATACAGGAACATCCTGTCTGAATCACTAAGGGAAATTATGAGGGCAAATAAAGAATAGATAGTCACTATTTTTCAGTCAGAATACTTCTAGCTAGATTGCGAGCCATTTATTTTCACTGGCAATCATATGATCTTAAAATGATTGAAGCTGAGAATTCCTGCCTAGATTTTGGAAAAAACAAGAGAACCTGATGCATCAGCGTTTTTTCATTATGAACAGACAAAAGGCCCCACTGGGTACTAACTCCTCATCCAGAACCACCCGAGGGCCTTCTGTGGGGTCCTCTGACAACCTGGGTCTGTCAGAGAAGTGATTCGTAATGTATTCAGGACTGTAGAGCTGGTCCTGGACTTGCTACCTGGCCAAGCCTGTCACTAAAGATACAAGATTGGGTCTGGACCCTTGTTGATATTGCACAATGGGCAAAATGCACCTCAATGAGGCATGACCACCCTCCTGCACATGCTTGGAGAGCACCAATGGCAGTAATTTACTTAAGCTTTTCCAAACCGAAACTCTCAGAATCCTGAATTAGCCTGCATGTTTCTTTCCTATCAATAATAGAAACCAAGCTGTAATAGAAACAATAGAAAACAAGCTATAATATTCTAAAGTTCTGAGTAAAATAGAATAAAATATAATATAAAGCTAGCATCTAATCTTTCTTGTTGGCTAGAACTTGCAAAAAGGACTAAAGGGTAGATAGAAATTGCTGGTCGGGATTCCAGAGATGCTGTTCACTGTGTCATTTCTGCTGGATCAGCCTGCCTCATTCAAAGCTTGGGAAACATCATCAGTGTCAACATCCATACAGAACAAATATTCTTACAGCAATCTCTGGATCAAATCCTGAATTGCAGGCAGCTCCCAGCAGTGCTGTCTGTACTTTCTGTCTTCATTACTGATACCACGGTATGATACACAATTCTGCTATTGGCAGTTTGTTTATTAAAAATAATACAAAACTACTGTCTTGAATTTAAACAGGAAAGATTATACTAAAGCCATAAAAGAGATATGGAGCTATTGCAGCACCGAAAACTCAGAGTTTTCCCATTGACTTTTCTCAGCTTATCAAATCAGAATCCACCCCCTTCCCCTCTGCTTTCTTTTTAATACTGTCCCAAAATGAACGCTACCATGTTGCAGCTGAGCCTCTGTGCTCGCTTGAGTGTTCAGGCCAATTCCCTCTTTTCAAATTTACTGAAATATGCAGAGTTATGCCAGCAGAAGACTTGCCCTCCTGTACCTTCTCTTGCTGAGAAACTAATTTGCTTGTCCTTAAGCCTGTGTTTCTAAATTTCCAGGAGCAGAAACGCATTGTGGCTTTAAATATAGACTGTCAGTTTGTGGCTTGCGTCTCATATTACACACAGACAGCTTGAGACTCTAAACACAAATTGGGCAGCACCATTAATATCTTAGAAAAGCATCAGTATGCTTTCAAAATGCTCTATATTTTCATTCCTGAAGGTGGGGGGAGGGAAAAACATTCAAATGAAACTTTTCTAAGCCAGGGTTTAGGCGGAAACGTTACTAACTTTGCTCGGTCCTATTCAGGAGCCAGAGTTTGCAGAGCCTGTTTCAGTTCTTCACACACATGCGCACGCACAGACACAAAGAATAAAAAAGGAAAACAGTTTCATCACAACTTTTTTTCTTCAGGATTAGTCTCAGGCGTTCTTTTTTCTTTTTTTTTTGCATATGAAATGCATTAGACAATCTTTTCCTTAAGCGGCAGACTGATAAATACACTCTTATTGTAAGGGGGGGGGGGGGATAAGGGTACTCACGTGGTTGAGATGTCGTATTGTTTTGGTAACTCATAATTTACGCCTTTGAAAAATGCCTTATTTGTGTTGACAGTCTCTCTTCCCTGCTCAGAACCGACGGCGGGATTGAACAGAACAGCTGGAAGAGCCCAGGAAAATGCTCCTCTTGTTCGGGCTCTCCTTGCCTGGCTCCTGACCCCTTTACAACTGGAAAAGGAAACAGCACATGTGTCATTCTCTTTTGCCTGTGTAGCTCACATGAGCGGGGAGGGGCACCCATTTGCAGATAGCAGTAACTGTATTCAAGTTTTGCAAGTTGGATGTATTCCACCCCTTTGCTTTTACTAGCCAGCAACCAGTGGAAAGAAAATGCTCTTTTCATTCTTAGCCAAATCTAGACGCACCTATTAGATTTGCTTCCCAAACCCCTACCCACCACTGTTGATATTATTTCTTTTAAGTGCAGAACTTGCTGCTGACTCCCTTCCCAAAATGCCTGTCATTAGTGGGTAAGATTAAAAGTAGGGCTTTCAGTTTTCATTGCCCAGCAGCATCCTTAACACTCACAGTCTAACCGATTCTGTCCTTTTAACGGGTGAAAATTGAGAATTACATTTCTTGGGTCAGAGTAGTTACATCAGTGTATAGCATGACTCTGCACTGTGCTCAGAACAAGGAGGAACTTGTGGCTGCGGCACAGGCTGAAGTACAGGTAACTCCAGTCCTGGCTCTGACACAGGTTTCTTATGGCACCTTGGGCAAAGCATTTAATCTCTGCCTCAGTTTGCCATCTGTAGAATAAAGATAATACAACTGATTTCCTCCCAGTCTGGGTATTTTTATTTTAATATGCAGGCAGGCGTTGTTTATAAATAGGATATATTTATTGGTCTGCATGGGCTAATTTACTCATACTCCGCAGCAAGTTTTTCAGCCTGGACTAGCCTACCAGCTCCTTCGTTTATATTGCTACCATTTAAAGCTATCTGTTTGGCTATCTGCATGCTATACTGCAATCAGCGATATAGAGTTGTTGTAAGTGTGCACACAGAGTCAGTCTGTGGTTGACATGGGCTAGGACTAGGTCATACCAAAATACAAGTAATTTATAACGCATATGTCTTAGACACTAAGAGTGGACAAAGTTTCCCTTTTCCTGGTGTCTGTGCATCAGGATGAATTAACTGCCTGCCTGTGACAGCAAAAACACAGTAACCATCAGAATGGAAGTGGAAAAAAACAGACTCATGAAATTCAGGCTGAGACTCATCCTGTTTTGCAAAACTGTCGCAGGATATTTCTGTGAAATCATCTCAGTGACCTCCTACAAGAAATCAGTGCTGCGAACTTCGTTCCCAGTATTTATTTAACAGCTATAGGATGGAAAGAACGGTGACTTATTTACATGCCAACAACAAATAACAGCTTGTTTGTGAGCATGGATGCAGTAAACGACTTTGGTCAGCATTTCCCACACTCTGGGCTTGTGGTAGAGAGCCCTGGAACATTTAGTGATAGACAGAGCAAAGCAAGGCACAAAACAAAGAGGGAAAAATAATAGCAAAAACTCCTGACGTTGTTCCACTGGCTTCAACTCTATAACACAACATTGATTTACACCAGATATAGCTTCTCTATGAAAATACTGATGGGCATGTTATCCATTACTTCTTCCTCTATATTTGAAGCACAGTGTGCACAGGTAAAATTGGGGTTTTCTGTCCTGGGGCATGAGAATTGTTGTCATGCAAAGTTATTACGTTTAAATGTTTCATCATCCTGATCCCTGAGAAATTTCAGAACTGCTGTTGAGAAAAGACTTCTCAGCTGCTGCAGCTGAACTGAAGGATGGAAGGTATCGATGCCTTCATTATGTTAGTGCCAGTGGTCTAGACCCTTCCCAGGAGTTTTGTGGCAGACTGCTAAAAATGGCATACACACACCCAAGTGGGCTGCCCTAAACAGAGTCCGGTTACCTCCTAGTGCTTAACACATTTGCATCTGTGCAACACTTCCTGCACCTGTCTTCTTTGTTCTTATTAAGGCTGTTCTCCTACCACCAAAATCAATTGAAGAGTTATACCTCAGTTTACAGAAGAGGATTCTGGCAGAACCAAGCCCACATGGGAAAGTCCCCTCTAACACCTTGGTATCTTCAGTTTTCTTAAGAATTCTTTCTTTGCTTATTGAAAAGCCTGGGATTCCCAGGATATCAGAGAGCCATTTCCCAAGGCTGTTGCTTGCCCTTAAGCAGGCCATTTAAGAGACCCTCCCTGACCTTTCCCACTCATCATTAATGGGAAATATGTGAGGTTGAAAAGGGCAGCGAGCACGACAGCTCCACGCAGCCCAGCATGCTTCCGGAGGAGCCTGAGACCGGGGCACAAAACAAAGAGCAGCCCAGTGCTCTCTGCCTGCCCCGACCCTCAGCCAGCCACCCCTGGGGGACAGGACGCACGAAAGGAACCCAGAGCAAAAGATGGGAGTGGAGTGGTGGTGGGGAAAATATGTGATTAATCATTAATTTCCGGCTTGTCTGAACTCTCTCCTAAACTTTAAATACAGCGGTTGCTTCTGGCAAAAAAAAAAACCACAAAAAGGCGAAAGGCGAAGATAACAGAAGGGTAGCTGAAAACATTTTTTATCTACAAGCTGTGGCATTCGTACAGGATCCACCGGATCTGTGGGATAACGCAGGTATGCTGGGAAGTTTGTGTGTCAGCTGTGTGGCTTTCATCAGCCAATTACGTGATCTTCTGGGGCCACCATGTTCCCATTAACCTACAGAAGTATCGGTTTCCTGCCCTGATGAATGCTTTTGTATCTCCAACCTTTGAAAGCTCAGAGTGTTCTTCTGAGCAAGGAAACCAAAATTCCCTTTTTGTCACAGTAGTGCTTTCAGATGTGACAGTCATTCCAGGTCCAAGATTGTTAGCTCGGAAGTGGGACCTCTTTTGCCTCTGATACTGCAATTTATCCTACTCCTCCTAAGCACAGCTATGTAATGAATTCATAGTCAGGCCCACACGGTTGTTGTCTTTGATACTATCTTGCTCCAAGATAAATGATATTTCACAGTCATTCAGGCTTGGCAAGCCGATGCCGTATGCTGCAGCTGTTGTTCCAAACAGGAAGGGAGGGTTTAGGCTGCACTCGAAGGAAAATAAATAAATAAGCCAAAGGAAAAAGTGTCTTTTCAGGAAGTTATGCCTGACAACAATAGGACATCGGACTAGAAATCCCTGTCTTCGCTGGATTTTCACGCCAAAACATAATGCAAAATCTGTAATCTCAGCCTGTAAAATTGTGGCAAGATTGAAAGAGGCTGAACGGAAAGCTCTCAGTAATAGTCTTTGTTGTCCACCTTATGCAGCCTCCCAGCCTCGGAGAGGGTGTTTGGATCCACCACCTGGACCTTTTAGTAGAAGATGTAGCAGTGGCTGAAGCGGTTCTTGCCTGGTTGTGAGTTCAAGATGGGCCTCATGCCTATACTGATGGCCACATTGGCACGAGCCAGTGGTGTGTCCCACCAGGCCACGTGCCATGGTCACCTGGTCAGCTGACGTGAGAGCTGGTGTTGGCTTTCTTCTCTCCTCTGTTGGCTACACAATTCAGGCTGTCTTAAACACGCCAGGCTGGTAAGCTATGTGTGGTTGGGATGGATCCCAAAATCTGAAGACTTTCTGCAGGTCAAGGAGAGATGCAGCTATGGTGCAGCAGAAACTAGGCTGAATCCTGAAGCAGGCATACTTTGTATGAGAGATGCTTCAGGAAAGCATTTGGCTCTGGACACCCTGTGAAATCCTTTTTCTACTGATTACCTTCCTCTCCATCTCTGGAAGGAATAATAGTCTACTTATTTGTTACCTTGTGTGGTAGGGTCTCCCCCCTGACTTCAGTCCTCTTGTTTCCTTCCTGTTTCCCATTTATTTTTGTGCTAAGAGGGTAGGGATTACTGGCCATAGACTACCCATCTGCTGTGTGAGCCAACTCAACGTCTGGAGAATGTCATGGAGAATGAAACTTTGTGACAATGCAAAAGGGATCAAAGTGGACTTATTACCCAGGATGAACTATGATGCTAGCATAACTCATGTTTTATGTGGTGCCTATGCTGCCAGTGACTGTAAGTGCAACTAGCTTGTGAAATCCTTGGGGCACAGAGCAGGAATTTTCTGTCTGCAGTTGTGACAGTAATTGTTACTGAACAAGTTCTCAACCCTCACATAAGGCCAAAAGAGAAGGATTTGCTCTGGAGATAAGAGATCCACTCTCCTTCTTACTTTGTATCTCAGGCATACGTCTTTATTTTTACCACCCCTCTGACTTCTGCTTGAACCTTTGGGATATATTCCTATCCCTGGAAAACAGTGTACCCCCCGCTTTGCCTTATCTCGCAACTATTTGCAGTTAAAGGATGTAGTGTGCCTGTTTGTGTTTAAGGTGTCCCCACTTAGGCTGTTAGTTTATTTGGGACAAGTTCTTTTCCATTTGTAAAGTATCTCTGTTCTCAGGGGAACCTCCAGTGTCACTACAATACAAATCCTTCTCAAAACATGCTATCGCTCTGTGAAATGGAAATATAAGGAGACTCTACATCTTCTCTACAGCCCTGTGCTTGGCTTTCCATGAACTGTAGTTCATTTAATGACACCATGGAGGGAAAATAGGTAAAGTCAAGAGCTCAGTGGACAAAGTGTTGCAGATTCTCTGTGACTATCTATAATGTTGTCATGTCCAAAGATCAGACAGGATGCCTTAGAGCCACTGATTCCTGCCTCCTCTCCAGTCTAATACCCGATACTGCTGAAAAGCACATCATCTGCTCATGCTCTATACCAGACAACAGGATGTTGACATGCTGTTTGATAGTGCACGTTTGGGACAATGGTAACATAAGCTGGGTAGACGTAGAGGAGGTGAATCATACTATCTGCTCTTGCTGAGTTCAAGAAATCTGAGAGCAGGCTTTGGTACATGGATTTCTCATAACAAAAGAACTAAAAGATAAATAAAATAAAGCTAATCATGCTGAACTTTAAAACAAACAAAAGGTAAGACTTGCTCACACAAAACAGAATTAAACACTGGAAGTCATTGTTCCTAGGGGATCTGGTATAGTTAGACCTTCAGTTTGACTGAAAACCATCATTCTTGTTTACATAGTTGGAATTGTATTATCTGTAGCGTAATTTCAATA